CCTTAATTACCGCGACGCCGTAACTGCGGCAACTGCAACCTTAATTACCGCAGCGCCGTAACTGCGGCAACTGCAACCTTAATTACCGCAGCGCCGTAACTGCGGCCACTGCAACCTTAATTACCGCGGCACCGTAACTGCGGCCACTGCAACCTTAATTACCGCGGCGCCGTAACTGCGGCCGCTGCAACCTTAATTACCGCGTTTCCGAACTGCAGTTAATACCGCAATACTCTCCATAGCGTCGTAACTGCTGTCATTATCAAACATTATTGACCTTAATTCCGCCAGTGCGTCCTAATAAAAATAGCTTCCTAGCATCCAACATTCCCGAAATCTCCCTTATCATGCCATGAGAATTATTCCTGTGTAATATAATTAGATTATCTCGATTATCTAACACAAAAACACCATTTCCAAGACAAATATTGGGTGCACTCGCGTGCCTCAATTCCTGGCAGCCGATTGTTTTAATCAAAAATTGAATATGAAATTTCAGTAAAATTATACGATTATCAGACTTCGCATTATGAAACTTAATTTTCATAAGTCATAAGCTAAAAAAACGATAGTTTCATAAATCAATGTGGTACATAAATTTGGTTTCATTGAATGGAATAGTTTTACGAGAATCCTGTCAATTACACATCACGGACATTTAGCATACAAACTTTTTAGTAGTTCATTTCAAAAATTGTAGTTCGAGGTCAAAATTTCAAGTCAACACTTGACTTGAGATGATGAAGAATGGAAAAATTCGAAATTTATGCACATTCTGACCACATTGTTACAGTTGTTGTCCATCAGAACCCGATGTACTTGATAGATCTGGATTTGGGGCGTGGAGACCTGAAAGAAAATTCAGTGTCCGGGCTTTGCAAAGCTTAGGTGACACACGACACATGTTTATTAAATGTTGGCAGATCTGTGGAAGAGTAAAGCAAATCGCAGAAAATAGATAATACGCAAAATTAGAAACCAGTTAATGATGGGCTAGATGCTCTAGTGTTTGCGTGTTTTGCTCATACTTAATATCGCTACACATGCGATTCAAGCAAGAAATGATTAGGAAATTTTTTTCCATGTTAACTGATACTCAGCATGGCATGCTCAAGTGATCATCGAATTTTAGTTTCAAGTCTTGTTTGTTTTCATCCCTCAGAGAAGTTTGCCAATACTTTACAAGTCGAATGAAAAAGAGTCCGTGGAACGTACCGGTCTCCACCTCAGCGTGTGTCACAATTAATCAAATTTCAGCCGTCACGTAGCGTGTTTCTGACCGAGAATTCTCCCATGTCTTTCAGCTCCTCCAATTTCAGTAGATATTGGCTTAAAAAACTTGACCTATGGAGCAACGATGGGTTTCATAGCCGTAAGCACGACATGCCATAATTACTGTAGTGATCTGGAAATTTCACTCCAAATTTCAAACTTACTATAGTACTTAGAATTACCATCTAGTATTATCTACGCAGATCCCTGCAAGCCTCCTTGCTTTCGTAGAAATTTAATACCACAATTTTTTGCCTCATCTCTATTTTTACTCAAATTTCATTTGCATAGCAAAATGAGAGCATTTAATCTTGACAAAATAAAATGCACGAAGATTTAGTGGCCATGCAATAACTCATCTCATATAGTCAGAAATAACGGTAAAATGATAAACAAAATATTCTCTACAATATTACCAATTTGAACGACAATCGTTTGAACGACTTTGAAATCAAATTTGAACGACTTTAAAATTCCAACCGAATTTCAGGATGATATACATTTTATGCGTTATTTCATGTTGTGCAATCGTTTATTACAATCAAAATGATAAAAAATTTGATTTAGTTAGATTAAAGCATAACATTAATTCTATTTGGTATAATTAAGAAGCCTATTTGCTGTGGCGCTAGTGCATTCATTTTTTTACCATAAGTTTTAAATAACGCGTTGAGTGTGGCACTACCCACCGCTGGGTTGCAGAGTCATTTTTTCCGTGACAAATTCTGCGATTTATTTTTTTCAATTGCGTTTGTCGACAAAAAATTACGATCGCAGGACTACCTCATTAAATTTCAAAATATACGGAAAAAATTTAATTTGTATTCCTGAAGCTACAAATTTGCTAGTATATTTTGAATTATTGGCCTTTTTATCCGCGGACTTGGCCGTTTTTAGGCCATCTGGCAGCGCTGGTGGGTCGTGCCGGACTGCCGGCGGTGCCGCACTTAATGTGTTAATATATTTGAATTTTGAACCTGATTTAATGTTTCACAGAAGTATAGGGAGCGAGGAAACAGCAGTTGAACGAGTTACTATCGAATAAAAAACATTACCGAACGGTTCTCAAATGTTGACGTTACTTGTTAAAAAAACGTAGAAATTATTCTAATAACTCGTTACTACTGCTGTTAGAAATCTTGCAGCTGCCCTGCCATGAATGCATAATTACATTATTGTTCATCACACGAGTGGATGGAATTAGGCTGAACGTTCACAACTTAAGTAAACTAAACAATTTCAGGTGTTCGAAAACTTTGACTTGCTCTCCACTTCTCGTCACCTCTTCGTTGTCGAAACTTGATGCGCCAAATGCACGTCTTAACGTTTTTTAAAAATGTAGCCGAGTAAATGAAATATTTCGACCTAAGTCCCTAGATTAGGTGGAAATATAAGGTTACAAACTCGTCGTTTGCCATAGGTGCCTCCAGGGATCGCTTGAACGTCGCTAGTTCTCAAGCTGCTGGCAAAAATTGCGAATATCCTCAAATCTTTTCGTGAACAAGTTCGTATTTCTTGGATGTCCAATCACTCCTTGTTAAATTTGCCTTTCTGTCCAATCACACTTTGTTAAATTTGTCATTCAGTATGAAGTGAATAATTATTCAGTTCTATTATAGGGGCGGTCCCCCTATGCTTGACTAGAGCTAATCTTAAGGGTTAGCTTGGGAATAATCATACCCAGGAGCGTGGCGGTATTGGATCATTCGTTTCTTTAAGCATGAGTTCGAATCATCTTGAGCGCGAAAAGCGAATGAAATGATCTGTGATTAGCGGAATGCAATTCAGCTTCGAGCCAAGTGAAGTATTTCTGAATTCAATCGAAAACGAAATTGTCGGCAACTGCAGTGAATAAATCTCGATGCTATTTCAGTGTTTTATAAACTTTTTTCAGCATACGCTACAAAGTGTATCTTGGATGACCTGCAGAACATACGGGGTGTTTGAATGATCATTTCGAGCACACAAGAAAAAAATGAACATGTCTTTATACGGGCACGTCTGCGAGGCGCGTATACTGACATTTCGTCCCTACACGCACCTAACATTACGTGCACATTAAGTGGGACATTATTTACGTGTCGCACGCTACGTACACGTACATGCACGTACGTGTACGCGTATATCCGCCCTCGTATACACACACACACGAGGTATCGATCACTGCAAAGCTCACACGCATGTGTGCAGGAGCAGCAGTGAGGCAGCTTTAATCGGCCTTGAGTAGCGCATTTCATTCACAAGCAACAGGTGTTGTTAAAGCTACCTCACTGCTCTCTTTTTATTCTATAAATCTATAGTAAACAAAGAACAATCGATGTCGCGAATGATGCTGACTCGGGCGCGTTCTCCGTGTCGCTATAATAACTTAGCATCGGATTTAAATATAGTATTTAATCAAGTTACTCTTGAATACGTTTTTTAATCATGATACACTTCCAGCAATTTTATAATTTAATACGTAAACAGTGATTAAGGAATTCCCATAGATATCTTACAGATTTTCTCAAATATTTAATAAAAATGCGAAAATTTACTTTAAAAATTTGAACTGATTCAATGTAAAACATCAAAAAATGTAGTGTCGTTTTTATACTGAGCGTATGAATGCATTGACGTTAAATAAACTGATAGGAAATACCATTGAGAGAAGGATAGTCTGACAGTGGGGCACATCTAAATAATTTGAAAGAGAATTGGATGACTCTACGATAGTTTCATATTTTATTTAGAAGGTAGCAAATTTTTTTGCGTACAAATCCTTTTTGCAACTGGACCTTGTTTTTATTTGCTACCCTTTGCCTGAAGGCTTCTGGGAGAAAGAACTATTTCAAAGCCTAACACCAACTGCCTTAGCAGAAATATTAATTAACTATCATATGCATTTTTAAGATACACAAATTGCGTAAAATAAAGAAATCGAACTCGTTATTACGTTACGTCAAATCTTGTGATATAGGCCTTACATAAGAGAAAAATCACGCAATCAGTAATTGGATTAATACGTACAAACTTCATAGACATGCATGATGGTGCTGGCATCTGGGGCATAAACTTGATATACAACTCGAACATTTTAATATATTATTATTATAATAGAAAACAGACTATAATTAATGACCATTGCTATTAATAGCAAACCGCTTGACTTTGTATAGTGGTTACGGAATTAAACAGAAGGATATCATGCGCAAATGCACACGAACAGAAAGTGTACTATTCGAACGTTTTTAGGCATGAAAATTAAACGGAAAAGGCATAGCATGCCGTCTGCCCGACATTCCACTTCAGACGTCACTATCCCAATGGCGCCGAAACGGGAACTTCACAGCAATAAATTGCAGGCTTGGGCCGAACTTCGTGCTGCGTCAATTGATGTTCTCATGCATCTCCGAAAATTTATTTTACGCCGTAAATGATCAGAGAGCAAGAAAACCTTAACTAAAATGGACTTTTTTAAATCTTACAAGTAGTGTATCCTTCGCTTGCAGTCAACCTTGGGAACATAAAATGACAATTAATGCCACTAATCACTCGCAGATGATAGATCCATTCCATTTCTACAAGAAGTATCGAGTTTGAAGAGCTCTTCGAACGAGTATGGACATACTTATGGGAATAAAATTATGGTGATTTAGCACACGACGAGGGTTAGCTTTATTTGCTGTGAGAAGTTGAACTGTAATGCGGGAGAAAATTGTGTTGAAGGTTAAATGAAATCAACTCAGTACACAATTAGTGAATTTTATTACCTGAATGCACACGTATTACCATTCAAAGTTGAAAAAATGTATCGGTTACAAGGCGGCTTTATCGAGGTTAAAAAAATACCAGCAATACCTATAATTGAGACTTCATCACTGAAACAACGTGTGATGATGCTTTTAATTTTGCATGAAAGAAAATAAAAGAAACATCTGAATACTAAACAGATCAAGAATTAGCAAGCTGCTGCACCAAATAAAAAAATTAACCAAGATAATTGCTCTACAGCGCTCACTGTTTGGGGCACACATTGACACATTATTGCCATGTCCGATGCATGCGCTCACGCACGATGTGATGGCAATGAAATAAAACAACTAAATTAAGTACGTAAAATGCAGTGATAAGGAAACTGACGCGAAGCTGTAGTTATGCTGGATTTGAGGTTCAGTTGAACATACAAAAGCGTGTCTCCAGGAAAATAAACTATAAAGTAAGTTATGTTATACGTCCTAGCGGAGCTCATAGAAGTCGTCATGAAACGCAGCATGCCGAGAGTGGGAGTAAAATATGATGAAAAACTTTTACAAAATAGAAAGGAAAACGATCAGAATCCCTCGACGAGTAACAAAGATGTTAAAATTTTAGACTAATAAAGTTTGTTATGGTTCGCATATAATACACGATTTTAGCTTCTCCAGATTTTGAATAAAGAAGGTAAAAATGTGGCAAAATTAGACGAGTGTACCTAAAACAAGAAATAATATACATATCAACTCGATAAACACTGCTTATGCATTTCAAAAGCAAGATTGTAACACCAGAAGCTCTTTCCATGTTAAGTTAAAATGAGGCTAGACAATCATTAAGAATATTCCGTACACATTACACTGGCTTAATATTAAGTTCACCTTAAATCAGACTTCCCATAATTAAACAAGCACAAAACTCCTTAAGAAAACTATAAATAATTTAGCTCCTTACTCTTGACAGGGATTTTCTGAAGTTGCGTGACATTTAAACCGAGTACATTTCCTTCCTGAAACTTCAACGACACAAATACTGCGCGCGTAAAGGTTAACTAACATCGCACTAATTTCCTAATTTTATACACGGTAGCACCGCTTGTGAAAGCTGATAAACACTAACTCTCCTTCCCTTACTGACCATTACATATAAAACTAACGATACTACAGTACTTCAATCCGACAACAAGGCACACATGAAAATGTCCACATGAAGCTCGATATGATTAAAATTTAATTCATTTACCTTCAAAGTAATCGAAAGCTTGACTGATGACCACGTGGGTGACATCAAAGTTTGATGAATTAGTGAGAATCTCCATACTGAAAATGTTAAAATTTTAACGAGTTTACAGTAAGGTGCCAAATTCGGAGCTAAGATGAAAAAGGTCATTATTATGCATAAGAATTAACGATTATTCCTCAGCAAGGATGTGCAACGATAGAACAATAGGTTACCATAAATCTAAATATTATCTATCCATCATCAAGTCACAATCTTGGAATGACTGGAAGCATAGTTAAATGTAAATTACAGCTCCGTGGATTAGTCCGAATTCTTCTCATCTCGAGCTAGCACAGCATGGCAGTGAGCAGTACGTTAAGATTAGAAACGACAACCTATATTCAACTAAGCAGAAACAATACCATACAATACGTAAAACAATCTGTAAGGAAAATTGCGCCACGAGATAATATATCCTAAGTGCGAAATTTAAATTAAAAGGATTCATTAACCTCCTGAATTGCAGAACTCAGGCAAAATTTCAAACCATTGTTGAACGCACGTGTGATGCTAAGTTTACAAATATGTAACGACCAATCAGAGTAAGGATTCTAGTTTCATGTCCTTAAATCCCATCTGTATCAATAAATATATATTTTATAAAAATATCGGTGCAGGTAATACATCATGCATCCAAAGAATCTGTGTCCTATTTCGGCAAGTTCATTTGTGCGGAGTCTCACGCACGTCATGCCACGAAAAATTTGCGGATCAGTACAACGCAGCCGAAGGAAACTTTGCCGTATAACTTTAGAGAATGATTTATCTTATCTATTTTCTCTTATTCACGATCGCACAGAGCAACTCGACTAGCACCTAAAGTTGGCATGGTTAATACTAAAGCTCAGTGATCAACCACCAGAGTTACAGCCCAAGTAGGTCGTGCTCGGTAGCACGAATTCGCGCACTTGAACAGAAGGCCAATGTTATTTAACAGCCATGAATTATTTTTCATACTTATACAAATAAATGCAAGCTACAAGCATCAAAAGGCCGACAAATCCTAAATCAGAATCCAAACGAAACGAAACGCGGACATCATCGTAAATTAAATGGAACTCTATAGACAAACTCGAATCTAGTTAATCAGTGCTTCAACTGTGCACACTGAAATCTCCCTACTTCTTCTAACTCATGAACTAGTCATCGAGGAAAATCAAGAATTACAAAGAGTACAATACCGAGATGAAATATGAAACATAATCACTGCTACACACTACATTCATTGGAACGTTGACACGGAGGAATAATTCTAAGTCGTTCCTATTACGAGAAATACCGTACCAATAAACGTATTACTAGTGAAATCTGGATGATAAATATTTCATGATTAGTCATAAGCTTCACTTTTGAATGCCCTCACAAGTTCCGTTCGAGATTATTTACAAGTGGCATTGTTATGTTAAATGCTTGATGTAATATCGACACTGGCAGAATATGATCCATAAATAGAGTTTTGCTCCATTACAAAATGACGGTGAAACTTGGCTGAGACAAGTCATTTTGAAATATAACCACGAAAATCCATGAATAATTTTGTAATCTTCCAACCTTAACATTAGTTACTGATGCATTTAGAATTTACTAATAGCTAGAAAATCACTTCATCAGTAATTTGGGTAGCAAGAAAATTAAAAATAGAGAAACATTTGAAGTAATCATTGAATTTACAAATCGTACATACCCCATAGTTGGAATCTTTCTATCGAACAAACCCGCTTTGAAAAAAACTGCGTATTGAAGTCCTCAAAATCAGCAAATTAACTTTTCTCCTGTACAACACTCCTATTAAAGGGCATAGAAGAAATGAATCGGGAGTATGACAGAGAATCAAGGGATTAAAAAATAAGGCTAAATCAATGTCGTTCCAGTGGGACTGATAACATAGAAGGTTAAATTTAAGACTCTTTGCTGCGCTTGTTTCCAGAACTTTCGTCAGGGGCATCGTGCTTTCGTTTGTCAGTGCCGTTCTCTCCTCCATAGTTCTTGTTGACACCGAGTTTCTGTTTCGAAATGTTATCATCAACGAGGTCAATTACTTCGCTTTGTGCGTTGATTTTGTTAGCGACCGAAGACGCCAAGACGACTACATCGTCGGATGTGTCAGCTAACGGCACGAGGCCTTCAGCTCCTTTGAGATCCGAGTCTGCAAATGACACTTGTTCCAGCATCCTCCTCCTCTTCTGGCTTATGCTGAGATCATCTTCAACGTTACAGCCAAGCAGCGTGAACGATCCATCATCTTCTGAAATTAAAAATTGGCTTAATATCAATAATACTGGAATGACGCGTTCAAAAGTTGGCAGCAATGATGAATAACTCTCATTTTATTACACGAGAAAGAAGAAATAGTCTATTACGTCGGGGATCGTCGATGCACGATGAAACTGAGGTGATAACGAACTATAGGTGATAAAACACACAAGATTCAGAAGTATGCACCAAAAAGATGAGGATAATTCAAATACCAAAGTGAAGTAAAGGCTTAAAACGGAGCTAAGAACAAGGTAAGACATAATAAATACCGGATTGTGGGCTGCGTAGTGAGAGTTCGACGCGCTGCTTGAGGCGCAACGCGTCATTGAGAGTAGCGAAGGTGTCCATGGCGTGGCAGAACTGTACCATCGGCAGACGCGTGACAGTTCTCAGTAGCTGGACTAGAGCGCGCTGTGCCAGGCGTTGCTTTGTGTTCTCGCCAAGCTCTGCAATATAATTTAAATTAAAACACACCAAAGCTTCAAAATATCATGCCACTTTAATAACACCAGCAGGCCGCGCACAAATTCTGCAATTAGGCAACACACAACTATGCATATCAGTTCTATTAGGTTACACACAATCAAAAAATCAATGCAATGAAATTTGAACAAGTCCACGCACAACTTCTGCAATATCGTTTCAAATAGCCTGCATACAACTCTGTTCATACATAATGCTCACAAACGTTAGGGCGCAAGCAAAAATTCGCAATAAACGAAAGCGTCACCCCCACTCAAGTCAACGCGCATCATTAACTCTAAAACCGCTCTGCACTGGGCAATACGCAACTCGGGTAAATAGGCAAACAATTGCCACTTCTGAAACACAACCAACTCTACCACTGATGCAGCCATCTGAAGAGCAGAACCTATTGTTCTGCTCTGCGCACCACCAACTCAAGATCCTGTCATGCAAAATTTTTCGTAAACTCACTTATACAAAAAATAAGTCTACATAGTCTATCACTCTCGCTCCAAACTTTCCGAACCTTCCAGACTATAAACAACATGATTATTATTTCCAAGCGCCCAGTACACCATACACTTCTAATTATAATTGACACTAGCTAAGACATAGATCCCACCCTACGTTTACCATTCAATAACAAAAGTTTCCACACGTCGCTCCAATTTAACGAGCGTTGTCCTGTCAACTAAAGAACATAAAAATATGCATTTATACAGAGCCATTGTATTGCACAGAGAACAAATGAGAAAAAAACTTCTTGAACTCAGTCTCCTAACAAACACTGTTAAACTTTTTAACGAACAACGTACCAGCTGTACCTGACTTAAAACGCACTCATTCTTCTGCAGCCGTGTGTGAGCCGTGTGTTGTACCTTACTACACTCTTTGAGGTCTAGACAGCAGGCGACTGATAGAAAGTAGCGTTCACTAAATCAACAAGTACACTGCTAAGAAATTAAACAATACTGCACTAACACAAACCTACAACCACACTGAACATCATCACACCACACTCATAAATACGGAACAAACGTCATTTACTAACACACGAACGGTCCTGACAGAAAGCTTCATTGTTTAGCATTTGCTAAGCAGTGATGCAGAGCTTGAAAAAAAGTAGTCTGATGTCCTAGAGAGCATATATTACACTTTAATCGTGAGGAAATAGGTTATGAATACTACCTACCTACTCAGTATAAGGATGGAACTATTTCCTAGAGCCTAGGAATCTAGTGCTTAAGTCATTTCATCTGTTCCCATCATTTCTAGTGTCTATTCATTTTTTGCTTGCTATTAATCTTATGTGTGACGTGCTCTCGAAGTTCGTTCTAACCAGACGCCACGATAAATGCTTCGTAGAATAAGAGAGCAAACCTGTGTCAATAGGAAGGAGCTTGTCGGGGTTGTCGAGCTGGGCTCTCTGTTGCTTCACTGAACTTCCATCAGCAACAGGGCCAGGGCGTTGACGGCACTTGCGCATCTTGCGGTTGACCTGAGTACCACTCAGCGCTGCTTTGCTACTGCTACTAATCAGTGCCCCTGCAACTTTCTCCTGCAAGAAGTATTCACGTTTTGATAAAAGGCACTTATTTTAGTCATCGAAAAATAAAATGAATCATGACTTAGTAACAATGAGATTAATATGTGACTGATAACTGAACTGACGCGTGACAATTCAAATTTGCTTTGAAATGGACACTTACATCGGTATAATTACTGATTTTCGTGGAGACGCGAGCTGAGTTTGTGCTGCCCACAGGTCTGCCAACGGAGCGAGGAGGCTTGTTGCTGTGAAGATAAGACAATTGCTTTGACTTGGCTTTGACCTTCATAGCCGCTTTTTCAGCCTTCTCTGCCCGAATTTTATCTTGAAGTCGTTTGATGTTATATGATGCGGGTGGAGCAGCGGTTTGTTGCTTGCCAGGAACTTGAGATGTTTGGATAGCAGCAGGGGCGGAGCTAGACGCGGGAGTGAGCGTGATGCCGGCAGGAACAAGGCGACCAGCAAGCAACACCGTCCCTGGATTTTCGTTGAGAATGGCAGGTGCAGAAGAGGTGGGAATATTTGATTGTTTCGTCTGTTTTGGAAGCAATAGTGACTGAGACTTTGGCTTAGATGAAGCAATAGGCGAGAGGACTTGGGTGATGGAGAGGCTGTTGTTGGAATTGTTGACTTTTTCAAGCAGGTGTGCTATTACAGCTTTGATGCGACCACCCGTACATGTGTCTGGACCATAGCCTGGTGTTTTCTTGGTGTGAGTCTTTGGAGTCACTCGATCCACTTGCCTTGAGGAGCAAATAATGTTAAATTTCTCAAAAAAAAGAACAATAACCTCACATATGTTCGTAATTTTCTTGCTAGCATTGTGCCAAATTTGCATAAAACGACAGTTGAGACAATGCACAATTCTAATACAGGATACCGAGTACACTGTACCTATAGAACCGAAGTCAAAGTATTCTTTAAAATAAAATATATACTACACTCCATATACAAGCAACACTCATATAGGAACATCATGAAATTTCACCTGGAAGTCTTGAAATTTCACCAGGAAATATATACCTACTTGGGTAACAGACAATTGTAAAATAAAACTTGATGCCAGCATTAAATGGTACTGTGAAAACGTGAAAAACTTACTGGTAGTCCTGTCGCTCCAATGCGTCTCGGGCACTGCCCACGACAACCATTTCATTGGGTGAGAACTGTGACTTCTTGAACTTCATGGTCAATTTCTCCTGACCGGGAGGCCGGCTGCCTGGCAGTGTAGGATTGTTGGAATGCAACAACAAGTGAGCATTTGCCGTAGTGTTTGCGTTAGAACTTGAGGTACTCATGAAGTGCGGCTTACTACTTATAAGGTTAGTTCGGGCAGAGTTGCTAATCATTGGGGAGTTTCTACTGCCAGTAGAATTGAAGGTTATGTTACCAGATGGAGATTTGGATGAATAGAAAGATGGTATGAGAAGTTGGCCTGGCAGTGGTGATGCGACAGACATGTACATCATTGGAGTGCTGCTGCTTTTGCCAAGAGTTTGCAGTGTAGCACTTTTAGGTGCAGGAGTGGAAGACATCACTGAAGGTGCGGGCTGAGAGAAATCGTTAGTTACGGGGTTTGATTTAACAGGGCACGCTACTCTTGCCATATTAGGTAAGTTCAACAAAGCACATGCTTGAGGACTAAGAGCACTAGGGCCTGCTGCGGCTGCAGCTGCAGCTGCAAGAGATGCTGCCAGTAAAGCTGGGTTCAGAGATGATGAGAGGTCTGTCAAAACTTCGGAATCACTTTTGGGAATGCTTCTCGTGCTTGACAATGGAGCCATAGCCATGACATTGGGTGTTGGAGTTGGTACTGCCTGTTAATATTATGGGATGCATCAGGTCATTTTAGGGAAGGTTAAACATTAAATGTAGAACATTAGAAACTTGTAATTCATTTCCAACAAGAAGTCACATGCTCAGCTATTAAAATGATTGTGGAACTTGCAAAAAAAAAAAAAAAATTCAAAATAGCTTCAACAAATATGAATGACCTGTTAGTTTTGATCAACAATATGGGCTCACTCAAACACTTTATTGCAATTGTAGGTTATTTCATGGTACCGTACTTCAAGAGCCATCAATACAATTTTTCTAAATTCAATAACTTTTTGAGTTATAGGGTTTTCTTTTCTCAAAGTCAAAACTGATGAAGTCACTCTGTTTTACAGCAGTAACTAATAATCACACAGGAAATTAATTTTTAAATGAAAAGCTCCAATACCTTATGTTAACTAGGAATTTTTTCATTACATGTATAGGTATATAATATATATAATGAAAATGGAAAAAGTTCACCCAAAACTACATACCGGTAGTAATTCAAATTCCAAATTTACCTTAAATAATAATTTTATTGACAACAAACCTTTCCAAAGCCCTTCTTGTTGTTAAACTCATGAATGTGGGTATCTTGTACAACCAATTCAGTCCCATCTGAATTTATGCGTAGACTCACACTCAAGTCGCATCTCTCACTGTAATAGAAAGAACACAACTTTAAATTCTTGAGCAGCCTGGATGAACAATTGGACATGACTGTGGAATCAGCCATAAATAAAAACAAGTTCAAGTTTCAAGTTTTTTTCAAGTTTATGAAAATATAAATAAACAGTTTATGAAAATATAAACAGTTTATGAAAATAACAGTTTATGAAAATATTAGAATAAAATGGAAAATTTGAAAAATCATTTTTAATACAATAAAAATTTATGTGTTGAAAATTCACAAAAAAAAAATGAGTTTCTCCAATTAGATGCATTGTGCATTGACCTGTTATTTACATCTTTTAGACCATGTCAAGCATGATGACATACATACCAGAGTATATATATATATATACCCAAAATTTTTTAATTGAGATTGTATTATACATAGAGTTTTGCTCAAAAATTAATTAGGATTTAAATACAAAAAACATGTAATTATAGGCATTTAAACAATGTAGTTAAAAAAAACTTTATTTTTCAGAAAAGACTTGAAATATAAATTTTGAGTAAAGAATTTTATTTTTTATTACATCATTACTATCGGCTTTGAAATGTAAACTACAATGAAATAATTTTATAACTGCAAACACAAATTAAAGTTATACTAGGAGATCTGAGATGCACTAAGTAGATGGAGGAAGTTCATTTAATGAATGAAATTATAGTTCTTAATAATGAGGTTCAAATTATGTGACTGATTGTGTCCCATCAAAAATGAATTAGGTACATTTCATGCCAATAATGTCTAAATGTACACAAGTCATTGAGCTAATAAATTTTAACAATAAGGTTTCAGTCATTAGAAAAAGATACGGTAATTACTTACTCATTTCCTGGCCTTCCAACGCGACCATTATCTATTGTGCAGTTGTAATCCAGGACACCATACTTGAGGCGATGATTCAAATGCTTTATCTGTTCAGCAGTGAGGTCAGAGTTTTCTAGTTTCACTGACTTTTTTAGAGTCAATTTTAAACCAAACAGCTCTCTATGCTGATCAATTGCTTTATTCACATCTCGATAACATACAAAAGATCGTCCAAGGTACAAAGGTAGTGAACTGGTCATAGACCCAGATTCCATGACTCTATGGTTCATAATAATAATAGTAGGTGGATAAAAAAAATTTGAAAATTAGAAACCAGTATCTAACAAGTAAATAATGAATGCTTAATTGTAATTTGTCTTTATTCTTCTCAATTGTTAGTCTCTTAGAGCACTTAACTTAAGGCTGGTAGTCAGAGTGTGGCAAAGTCTGAGAGTGAGATATTCAGGACCTGACAGACAGTGAGGAATTCCAGAGGGTATTAAATTAACTAGTACACATAGCATATTGGAAAAGCCATCACATGACAATTTCAGTCTGGAGTGGATGACACCACAATCCCACCAACCAATCACAGTCTGGAAGTGGGTGAAATCATAATCAATCACAGTCTAGAGATAGATATGCATCTGCCAAAAAATGAATGACCCCTAGAATTCCACACTGTACAACCACAATGTACAACCCTGGTTCTGGCCTCAGATTGGCAAGTTGCTCCTCTTGAGTTTGTAGTTGCTGTAACATGATATGTCAGCCAGCAGGAAATTTGGGGCAACAGGCAGCATTCAGGTGGCCGAGGAATGGCCAGGCGTCAGCTAGAATTAATTATCTCTGGCTGCCCATAACTCCCACTCTATTTCCTTGCTTTTTGGTTAGAAAAATTCCATGCCAGCCGGCAGCCGCATGAGCCGTCAAGTTTGACAGCTTGGTGATTTATAACCATTGCCTTCCCTCATTCTTACCACAGCGCCTTCATCAGCAGCTTTCTGTGCCTGTTACTATATGGGATTTTATCTTCAGATATGAGCTATTCATTCATAACTAGACAGTCTAGACTACTAAATTTTTTGTGAGTAATATCTACACAGCAGCTGATCATAAAATGACAAGTACATGGAATCAGTACAGTAATATCTACACAGCAGCTCATCATAAAATGACAAGTACATGGGATCATAAAATAAATGGACATGGAATCCACTGATCATCAGTGGATTCCATGAGTGGAGAATAAAAAGTATAACCCATAGTGGAATTTTGGAAAATGGATGGCCACATACCATAGTTCCCCAAAAGTCACTGCCATAGTTTCTCCTTGGCTATCCAAGAACTGAGAACTGGGGGAAGGGGTACTGCTGGGCATGCAACCCTAACACAGAATAACAAAAAATTAGGTCAGTACTCACTGCAGTGAGTGACAGAGAGTGCATTTTCTTGTCCGTCCATGACGTTTAGTCACAGACGGATGGATGGACATGAGAAGTTACGGACAGACATGACAAGCACAATAGCGCCTTTTTTTCATAAATGAGAAAATGTGCTAAAAACACTTTGCTTTTACAAGGACCACCAAACACTACCTTTCATTATACAGTCTAATACCATTTGAATCTTGCTCTTTAAAATCTTTGAAAAAAAAATCTTGCTCAGAGAACACTTTACCTACTCAGAAGTTAAGTACTGAAATTGCATTGCAGTGACACATATCTCAATTACATCATTACAAAAATACTGAGATTTTAGCTAAAACAACACAGAAAAACAGCCTGTCATTTTTCAACCACAAATTGTGCAAACCAATAATGCATTTTGCCATCTTCATGCACTAAATTTACCATAAAGCTTATTTTTTTACAAATCAGACATTATCGTGAATCCATTTAGATAATCATTTGACTCTTTGTTTACAAATCACCTTACACAATGCTAGCTTGTGGACAAGGACAGCTTTTGTCTGCACTTGCAGTAAAATGACAATCAGTTTTAATTTTAGATTTCATGATGGAGTTGTGAGTGTGTACCGTAAACTGGGGTAACTTTGACTCCCGGGGTAACTTTGACCACTTTTGGTTTTTTTAACAAAAACCCCCAAAACTCGAAAACTATCTGACATAGAAAAATTTTGTCAATGGGCAATAAAGGCTTAATACTGAGGCTACCTAACACAATAGAAAGATTTAAAAAGTTTGCATATCTAATAGGTTAAAAAATTAAAAATGTGACCCACAAAAAAGAGCTATTATTTAAAGCCTGTCAGAGTACCCCCTCCAATTTTTTTATTTTTTGGTAAAATAACTCCAGGTTTTGATGCATTGTAGTGGAACTCTTCTAGTTACATATGCAAAAGACAAATTTTAGAAAAGTGTCATAGTTTGCAAAAGTGAGGCACCGCCCCCCAATGGGGTAACTTTGACCACCTAATGGCAGCCGTGACAGGGTAATATTGACCGGCTTGGAAATTGAGTTAAAATTACCATAGGTACCCCAGACAGCATATTTTATGTTTGATATACCTATTAATGTTTTTTTCTTTATGTTTCAGACTCTACAGAGTCTTATATATGGTAATTTTAACTTAATTTCCAAAAGGGGCGGCGCCCCCCATTTGCAAACTATGACACTTTCCTAAAATTTTTCTTTTGCATATGTAACTAGAAGAGTTCTACTACAATGCATGGAGTTATTTGGAGTTATTTTACCAAAAAATAAAATTGATTTTACCACCCGGTCAAAGAAACCCCAAGAGCTGGGGTAACAAAGACAATCACTTTTTTTAAATTACCTACATCAAAACTATGAGAGGCAGGAGCCAGCAATTTATGGTGAGTAAAGCTAGAGTATAGACCTGTATTTTGCATTTTCAATTCAAGTTTAACTTATCTAGTAAAAAAATGGCATCATTTTGAAAAAAAAGTGGTCAAAGTTACCCCAGTTTATGGTACCTAGTTATAGAATACATGTACAAATAAAAATGACAGTTTTTTCTATAAAGCCACATTTGCTAACAACTGGAAACCCAAATATATGGATGTGGAAATATCAATTCATTTAAGCAATGACCTGAATTGCAAATTCTTTGTAAAGGAACATTGATACACGTGTCTAAGGAAATGAGTACAATTTTGGTTGAAAACTTGGGTTACATAGTACCAGTTTTACAGATTGAAACTAATTAAGCATATTGCCAATACAATACTGTATATGTTGGTTGAATGTTTGACCAGACTATGATTGTTAGTTAGAAGTTTAAATTAATACTTTATTAGTACTACCACAGAAATATTTAATGGTAAAAATATCCAAAAAAGCTGTCATTATTTTGTTTCATTGCTTTCAACAATGCCTGACCATCATTTGATCAACATACGACCAATATCTACTAATCAAATTATAACTTATAATGAAATAAAGTTTATAATTATAATTACAAATTAATCAATCAAATTACAAATTATTCAATCATTTTCAATGGTACCAGAACTCATGATTCTACACTAAAAATAAATTAACAGGCTACTTCTTATATTTGATAGTCATTAGTTATTGATACATATGTTACAGTTATCAATAAATAAATGTTGCTTGTGACAGTTGCTTTTTTACCCTCTCACACTCAGTTAGCCTGGGCTCTGTGGTCGCTAGTTGGTATTTACACACAGACAAGGGTGATGAGAGTGATGAAGATCCAAAGATCTTTGGAGACAAATTGGTGGATAATTTCTGAGACACATGGATTTTAATGCTGTTTTAACATTGAGAAACCTCAAGGTATCTCTCATGCAAGAAACACTTGGTTAAAAAAATTTTAATTTTATAAAAATGACTCGCTCCAAAACCTAGGGTTCCATCAAAGTTTGATTGCTTGGATCACTCAGTTTTCAAGTGACGTTCATTTTACCACGTTTTTCTTAGCTCGCTTTCGTGTCTGTGATGATCAAATCTTGCAATCGATATTTCACCAACTTTCCCATTAGCTAGCGCTCTGAAACTTTTAGGGAAGCTCAGCTCCCGATAACAATACAATAATCAATAATTTGTAGCACGTTTCCAGGCGTATAAACTCTAAAGGAACTCACAAGCAGGGGTTGGAACCTTTAATGCACGTCATCCTCGAGAGGATATTCCTGTTTAGACTGCGTATATCGATGATACGCTTCGTATCATCGATACGTACATCAAGATTCAAGTCAAGTAAATTGGCTTGCAACAACGTGTTTCGTGTGTAGCAACGGACTAAAAATGAGAAAATAAATACTTAAAAAACTAAAAAGTAGAAAATAAAATGTATAAAAAAAATTTTTAAAGACCACGTTTTTCATGTGGACTCATAAGTAGAAAATAATTTTTCAGCAGCTACTGATCTCTGTTTGCTTTCATTCTCTTGGTCTTTTGTATTTCAGTTAAAATATTTTACATCTAAAACAAAAAACGTGGGGTGCATCTTCATTTAGGCATGCCTTAATTTCAATTTTGAATTCAACCACTATTTCTAATTTTATCAGCAATACACTTATCAAATGTTCAATGAACCATCATATTCATCATATCAAGTAATCACCAAACAATTAAATACATATGCGCCCCACGTTTTTCGTTTTAGATGTTGTAAAATATTTTAACTGAAATACAAAAGACCAAGAGAATGAAAGCAAACCGAGATCAGTAGCTGCTGAAAAATTATTTTCTACTTTTGAGTCCACATGAAAATCGTGGTCTTTAAAATTTTTTTTTATACATTTTTCTGAATTAAAATTTATTTAGCCAGTGTTTCTTGCACAAGAGATACTTCAAAGTTTCTTAATGTTAACAGCATTAGAATCCATTCAGAAACATAAATTTTTAGTATGATTTAGGCTCTTAAGGACTTAAAACCGGGGCTTTCAATTTCATATTCAGAATTAAAAACAAAGCCAGCTGCCGCAGCTATGCAGCTGCCAATGTTATCCCACCATGGTCTGCCCAGTTTAAACAAGGCGCTGCATTTTTTATGTAATGTTCATGGGGTACAAAAGAATCTTGAATTATTGATTGCTAATTTTGTGCATTAGGTATATGTTGAGGCTAAAATTTAACATAGAAGTTGTACCCCCATATTTTGTTAGAAGTGAAATTCATCACTTGAAATGATAATTTTCAAGTAAAACGTTAAAAGTTGTCACATGAATTCTCCATTACACACATGAGAACTACAGTCATGAGGAGTAAGAAAAAGATAATTAGTAATACATAGAATGAACTATATTTGTTGATATTTAATAATAATAAGTAGTAATTATTC